TTATGATCACACAATCAAATGCCTTTGCATAGTCAATAAAACATAAGTAAACATCTTTCTGGTATTCTTTGCTTTGAGCCAAGATCCATCTGACATCAGCTGTGATAGCCCTTGCTCCAAGTCCTCTTCTGAATCCAGCTTGCATTTCTGGAAGTTCTTTGTCAATAAAGTACTGCAACTGTGTTTTAATTATCTTCAGTAAGATTTTACTTGCTTCTGATATCAATGGTATAGTTTGATAATTTCCATATTCTGTGGTTTTACTTTTCTTGGGAATGGGTACAAATATGGGTCTCTTCCAGTCAGTTGGCCAGGTAGCTGTCGTACAAATTTCTTGGCATAGCCGAATGAGTGCCTCCAGCGCGACATCCATTTGTTGAAAGATCTCAATGGGTATTCTGTCAGTTTCTGGACCTTTGTTTTTTGCTAATTCGTTCAGTGTGGCTTCAACTTCTTCCTTCAGTACCATTGGTTCTTGATCCTATGCCATCTCCTGAAATGGATGATTGTCTACACCTTTTTTTTTTTTTGGTACACTCACTGTGTGTATTCCATTTTGATGTTTCCTGCATCATTCAACATATGCCCAAGGAATCTTTCATTATTGCAGTTTGAGGCTTAAATTTATTCTTCAGTTCTTTCAGCTTGAGAAATGCTGGGTGAGTTCTTCCCTTTTGGTTTTCTAATTCCAGAACTTTGTATATTTCATTATAATAATTGACTTTGTCTTCTTGAACTTCCCTTTGCAATCTTCTGTTCATTTCTTTTACCTTGTTGATTCTTCCATTTGCTTTAGCTATTGTCCATTTAAGGGCAAGTTTCAGAGTCTCTTCTGATATCCATTTTGGTATTTTCTTCCTTTCCTGTCTTTTTAATAACCTTTTGCTTTCTTCATGGATGATATTCTTGATAGCATCCAACAATTCCTCTGGTTGTTGGTAATTGGTGCTCAATTCATCAAATCTGTTCTTTAGATGGTCTGTAAATTCAGGAGGGATATATTCTGGGTCACATTTTGGCTCTTGTGGACTTGTTTTAATTGTCTTCAGCTTCATCTTGAACTTGCGTATGAGCAATTGACGGTCTCTTCCATAGTCAGCTCTTGGCCTTGTTTTGACTGAAGGTATTGTGCTTTTCCATCACCTCTTGCCACAGATTTAGTCAATCTGATTACCATGTACGCCATCTGGCAAAATCCATGTAGCTGCCATTTGTGTTGTTGAAAAAAGGTATTTGTGATGAGTATGTCATTGGTCTTGCAAATTTCTATCATGTGATCTCCAGTGTTATTTCTTTTACCTACCAAGGCCATATTTTGCAACTACTGGTGATTCTTCTTTGTTTCCAACTTTTGCATTTCAATCACCAGTGATAAGTAACACATCTTGATTGCTAGTTTGTTCAATTTCAGACTCGAGAAGTTGGTAAAAAATCATCAATTTCCTCATCTTTGCTTTGGTTGTTAGTGTGTAAATTTGAATAATAGTAGTATGAACTGTTCTTCCTTGTAGATATAAAGATATTATCCTATCCTGATGGCATTTTACTTCAGGATGGATCTTGATACATTCTTTGTGATGCTGAGTGCCACACCATTCTTCAATTTATCATTCCTGGCATAGTAGGTCATATGATTGTCTGATTCAAAATGTTCAAAACCAGTCCATTTCAGCTCACTAATACCTAGATTATTGATCTTTATGTGTTCCATATTATTTTTGACAACTTATAATTTTCCTAGGTTTATACTTCGTACATTCCATGTTTCGTTTATTAATAGATGTCTGCAGCTGTTTCTTCTCATTTTGAGTCATACTACATCAGCAAAATGAAAATCTGAAAGCTTTACTATATCTACATCAAGGTCAACTTTATT